GCGGCCGCGCCCCCCCGGTGTCCCCTTGTGTCCCCCGGCGGTTCGGAGAGGACCCGGGCCGTGCGCTGCCCACCCGGCCGCACGTGTGCTCGCCCTGCGGTTTCATTAGGGAGAAGGAGGATGAAAGGGAAGGCCGGGAGGAACGCGGAGCTCCCTCTGCATTCTCCGGCTTTCAAGGGTCCTTAGAGCCCTTGAATGAAATTATTGGGCGAAATGGGGTCTGGCGGGAGCCGTTGTGACTCGCCCCCCTCCTTGGTTTGTACGTGTAATGCTACTTCTGAGAGCGACAACCGGGCTACTTGCTGGACAGGCAGGGACAAAAAGGAGATTAAACCGTTTTAAATAATAATAAAAATTATCCAAAACGTAAGCAGAGTGGATTACGATTGCCTCAGCGCCTCGGTTTCCCCCAGATTGCACTAACAGCCGCCCTCGGGGCTGCAGGGAGGGTGGCCCGGGCCGGGCAGCGACGGGGACCCCGGTGGGGAGCCCGGTGGGCGCGGGTCGGACGCGCCGCCGCCCTCGGCCCCGCGAAACTTTTGAAGTTGCTTTGAACTTTTTTTTTCCTTCGTCCCCGGCCCCTCTCCCCCAGTTCCCGGCCGTTGTCCCCGTGTCTGCGTCCGTCGCCGTGTGAGATGTGTATTTGGTCGAGGAAATCTCGCTGTTCGCTCACCTCGGAGGGTGCAGGAGGCCGGGGAGGGCGGCCCGGCGGGTCGGGCAGCGGGGCTTCTTCAGCCCCACGCACCGTCCGTGGCTCCTGGCCCTTCGCTGGGTCCGTACCCACTCGAAACGTGGTTGACTTTGATTCTATGGCATTCCCGGGTTCTCCTCCCCAACACGTCCTCGAGACATTACCGCAAACTCACCATGTGATATATTTGAAATTCCCCAGAGATTGGGGTACAGTCAGTGCATTCAAACCTCCCTGGCTCACTTCGGCTCCTGAGCGCTGGGCTGGTGCTGACAGCGTCAGAGGGGGAAGAGGAAATTTCTTTGCACAATTTCGTCTTGGCATTATTATATTTATTTTTTTTTTAAACGTAATGAAATTAAAACTTTTGGAGCTCACAGTTGACATTTTGCAGAAAATTGAGTTATCAAGGCAGTAATTATTTCACAGGGAGATAAAACTCTCATAGCCCTAACTGTCAAATAGGCCCCTTTTCAGATTTTAATTACAAAATAAAATTAGTCTGCTCTTCCTCGGAAGGGTTTGTGAGTGGCTAAACAGAGCTTTCCCCAATACTGGTGGTCGTCAAACTCTGCTAATTAGCAATGCTGAGAAATTCCAGTTAACAAGGACATTCTCTAAGTCTCTGCAGGTTCCCTGCCGTTCGCCTTCATTTCCATAAGAAGATTAAGAGTGGAGGGGAACACACTCAAATGCAGATGCAGAAAAGAAGCGTTTTTAACAAGCATCATAATAGTAAGATGCTTGGCTAGTTCTCACCTAATTACCGCAAGTTAAACCTCTATTTGCAGCTAAGGACAAAAAATGGAGCTGCAATCTCCCATCTCCAGAAGACTGCTTAATAGTTTGCTTTAGATTAGTTACCAGTAGGTTCAAGAAAAAGAAATAATACGAAAATGTGTATATACTTTCCGATACAGTTAACACGATAGGTTGTATCCTTAGGGCTTTTGGAGGAATCGGCGAGTATTAGAACAATAAATACATGAGATCCAAGTAGTTAACATTCATTTTCTTTTTAAGAAACTCATAACCTGGAAATACGAGTGCGTGTGCCGCAGAGCCATCACTGAGCACATTTGCAGACTATTTGTTTAACATAAGCACTTTTCATTTCCATAAATTATACCAAAGGCAACGATTTTATAAATCCACTCAGATTAAACCATCTCTCCGTAGGCCTCCCTTCCAACGTGGCTATATTCTGCCAGAGAGACCACTCTTGGTCTCTGGTTGTTATGGTCATTAATACAGGAAATCAGGGACCTTTTAAAAATGTATTTATTTTATAGCCAGCATCCCGGGCTGCTCCTGCTTCCTCCTGTGCGTTCATATTCCCAACCCAGGGCACCTCAGGAGGAAAGGGAGAAAACGCCCTAAAAGAACCATCGTCCTCTATTTTCTGTACTGTATTATTATGCATATACGCCAGATAGTTTATTGAGCCGATAATTAAAACAGGTAATTAAAATAGAGCTGTAAATACTCCCAATAACACGATTGTTAAGCATTTCCCATCCTTTATTCGTATGATAAATGCAATTACGAAAGGGCCAGGCCCGGAAAGGCCTCCAGCCCGCACCTTCCTGCCCCTGCCCGCGGCCCCGGACCGCGCACCCCGCGCAGCTCCTGCAGCTACAGCCGGAGCAAAAATAACCCTTTGCTTGTGCACCATCATCCCTCAGTTATCAGTTTATTACGATGAGCAAACATCATTGCCAGCCAGCCACCTTTTTTTTTTTCCCCCCCCCAAGCTTATTATCCCTAAAATTTCTTAATTTTTTTATATACCCTTATCAGTTGCAGACCAAAGGGAGAACAATGAGAAAGTAAACAGTCACCGTGCCCTCAGGAGCGTCTGGACAATCAGAATCCGTTTACATCCCACATCTCGTAATTTGCACCTATTTTTCGACGGTTTAACCCATCACTTCTCTGCGGGTTATAGATACATTTTCGAATGAAGCACGTTAAACCCGATAGGATTTATTTGCGTAATCCACACAGAGGAAAAGATGTATCCTTGCTCGCTGCTGGGCTTGTTTTTTTATTATTATTATTATTGTTGTTATTATTATTTAGATTGGGCGCAACCGCCCGCTCCCTCCCCCCTGCCCGGCTCCCCGTCCTTCCCCCGCAGCGCGTTCCCGCCCGGGGCCGGCAGGGGGCGCCGCAGCGCCGCGCCTGAGCCCTCGCGGG